GCTCTCTATCAAGGTTTATTCAAGAAATGTTGCTTCACGTTACCTACTTTCACCCCTGGCCCAGATTCTTTCCAATCTCCAGTATCCTCGAGACTAAGTCCCAAACCCCAGGGACAGTCAGTTTGTCCCAGAGCTGCTTCAGAGTTCCAGGGGAAGCACTCTCTCAATAAGAAGAGGGATACAGTATTCTGCATCAATGCCTTGGACAGACTTAAATCCAGGACTTCTATACCTTCCCAAGCAGTGTGTGTGTGGCAGCGAAATAAGCATAGTTGGTATTCCCTCTCTAGCCATACCTAATGGGGCTTCAGAGAACACCCTGAAAGACACCTACAGCAAAGAGGCTAGGGGCAGATCTCTGCAATCTGTAGCCACACCTGATCAAGGCAACCAGTTTGCCTAGTCTGTTTCCAGTCTTTATTGTATTAGAATATAGGGGATTTTTGGTATTTGCATATCCAAGAATTTCACAGCTCAGAACTCGTAGAGTTAAGATACTGGCTTTTCCCTCTGATAATAAAAAGTGACAACTGGTCTTGCATCAGGCCTAGAACTTGCCAGCTAGGAAGTTATAGACGAAATGGAAGAGTGAGGACAAAATGGAGCTCATCTGGCAATACCCTTCAAGCTTACCTCCTCCTCTGGGGTTCCAAATGCTTCATATTTTCATTGGCAAGCACAAGTTTGGAAAACAATTGGGGTTGGAGGAGCCTGGAGGCAGTTTGGAGCACCTTGTCCCCTCTACTCCAAATTCTCCTCCTTTAGCCATCTGGCTTCTACAAAATCTGGGTAATTTTGTGCAGTGCTTTTTTCTGGGGGGATGCAGAGGGATGCGTACCCCTACATATTTTGTGAATCTTTGTACTTGTGTCCATTTACTGTATTTATTTTCCCTGATTTGAACTATAAAATGGTGATTTTCTTGAGTCAGAATGAGAGTACCCCTAAATATTTTTTTTAAGAAAAAAAGCACTGATTGTGTGTAACACATAGTTGAGAAGGTATTCAAGAAGACTATAGAATCATAGAGTTGGAAGGGATCCCAAGGGTCATCTAGTCCAACCCCCTGCAATGCAGGAATCTCAGCTAATGCATCTGTGACAGATTGCCATCTAACCTCTACTTAAAAAACTCCAGTGAAGGAGAGTTCTCAACCTCCCGCGGAAGTCTATTCCACTGTTGAACAGCTCTAACTGTCAGAATTCCTGCCCCGCCCACCCCCGGTGTTTAGTCAGAATCTCCTTTCTTGTATCTTGAATCCATTGGTATGGGTCCTACCCTCCAGAGCAAGAGAAAGCAAGCTTGCTCTATCTTCCATGTGACAGCACTTTCAATAGTTGAAGATGGCTGTCATATCTCCTCTCAGTCCCTCCTTTCCTAGGCTAAACAAACCCAATTCCCTCAACCGTTCCTTACAAGGCTTGCTTTCCAGTCCCTTGATTATCTCATTTGCCCTCCTCTACACACGTTCCAGCTTGTCAATATAGCAGTTTTATATGAAACCCTTGAACACTTAAACAGCATGCTTGTGTAATAATAATAATAATAATAATAATAATAATAATAAATTTTATTTATATCCCGCCCTCCCCAGCCGAAGCCGGGCTCAGGGCGGCTAACAACACTAAAATAGTGCAACATTATAAAAACATTATAAAAATTAATTAAAATCAAAATTGATGGCAACCATAAACTAAAGTTTTGTAAAGATTGCCAAAGGAGGGAGTCAGGCTGCGCCCTGACCAAAGGCCTGGTGGAACAGCTCTGTCTTGCAGGCCCTGCGGAAAGATGTCAAGTCCTGCAGGGCCCTTGTCTCTTGTGACAGAGCATTCCACCAGGTTGGAGCTGCGGCCGAAAAAACCCTGGCTCTAGTTGAGGCCAGCCTAACCTCTCTGTGGCCTGGGACCTTCAAGATGTTTTTATTTGAAGACCGTAAGTTCCTCTGTGGGGCATACCAGGAGAGGCAGTCCCGTAGGTACGAGGGTCCTAGGCCGTATAGGGCTTTGAAGGTTAAAACCAGCACCTTAAACCTGATCCTGTACTCCACCGGGAGCCAGTGCAGCTGGTATAGCACCGGATGAATGTGATCTCGCAGCGAAGACCCCGTAGGAGTCTCGCTGCGGCATTCTGCACCCGCTGGAGTTTCTGGGTCAGTCTCAAGGGCAGCCCCACGTAGAGCGAGTTACAATAATCCAGTCTGGAGGTGACCGTCGCGTGGATCACAGTGGCTAGGTCAGGGCGAGAGAGGTAAGGAGCCAACTGCTTAGCTTGGCGGAGATGAAAAAATGGCGCCTTTGTTATAGCTGCAATCTGCGCCTCCATGGAGAGGGAGGTATCGAAGATTACACCCAAACTCTTAACGGACGGTGCTGGCACTAATTGCACCCCCGCAAGAATATGCTGCTAGACTATTCCTATACATAATATTTCACTCATGTAGAAGACTAGGACAGCTATGTTTTTGTTTTTTGGTGGGATGACATTCCTTTTTCTGAAATGTAAAGTGGTAGAGTACAGTTGCTGATTCATGGCATCACCCTGCTGACTAACAGCTTCAACAGGGAAATTCCGGTACAAAAAGTAGCTGGCTTATAAGCTGTTTCCATTTGACCCTGGGCAATCACTGTAAGAAGCAATTGCGATTCTGTTTTTCCCCATGAAGCTGAAGTAACATCAGAAAACCAGAATGAAGGTGATAAAAATTGTATGTGAACACATGTAAAATATGCCCTCATTCCTATTTTCTGGCCATGAGGCTTGATTAAGTGGTATTTTCCCTCATAGTTTTTAATGATAAAGAATTTCACTCTTACGGTGCTGTTGTTATCTTCAGTAGTAGCCATGAAAAGTTGTTATGTGTGTCTCGAGAATATCCAAGTTCATGCAAAGTTTAAAAATATGTTTTAAGTCAATATTCAAGCTTTGTATGCTGCAAAGGTGAAATTTCACAGTGCTATAGATGGCTTAACTTGTTTTCTGTAGTAATGCTGCCCTCTGCTTAAGAAATGCCAAACTTTATTGAATAGCTGTAAAGGAAGGGCATTTTTATAGATCGGAGGGAAAGTAGACAGTTATACATATGACATCTTCTGAAATGTTTATGCTGGACTCAGGCATCATAAATTTGTGACTCAGAGAAAAGACCAAAAGAAGGGTTCTTAATGAAATTGACCTGAGCTCGTTTCTATTGCTAACACGAGCATTGTTTTTGACAGAGATGTACAGAAGTAGGAAATAATTGTGTTATACACAGGCTTTGTGCCAGGATAAATAAAATAATCATTATTCCATTAGGGACATCTTGATTGCAAAAGGTCACCATGCATAAGAAATCAGCTAATTTACATCTGTATGAATAGCAAAATGGGTTCATCATCATTAATGCTATTGAAATGAATGCCAAAGGGTGAAATTATTATTTGCTGTTCATCTGGGACAATTTGAAGAGCAAGATGGTCAAGTCAATTCTTGTATATAAATATTTTCATTTCCATCTCTGAGCTTTTCTAAGCATATCTTGTTTGCTGTGTCTAGTGGGGTGGCCCTAAATCATTACAGGCAGAGCCTTTTTTCAGCCAGAACTCACTGAACTCAGTTCCGGCATCTCTCGGGTGGACGCCATTGCTATTATCAGAGAACAAGGGAGGAGTCATGGTGAGTTCCAGCACCTCTTTTTCTACAAAAACAGCACTGATTACACCTGTATATTCCAAAAGGTATGTTAGAGGCTGTGCAAGACAGTTACCACAATACCCCATGCTGTAAACCTTTTATTAATAGTATGTTACTGATATCTTTCCATATACCACTCATGGGAAAACATTGTCTCTCCAGATGTTTTTGGATTACAGCTGCCATCATTGCCACCCAGCATGGCAGCAGTCAGGGATAATGGGAGTGGTAGTGCAGTAGCATCTGGAGGCCCACAGGTTTTTCACCCTTGCTGTAGACTTTAATTTTGATGAACTCATAGGCTTTCTTCATGAAACAGAAAGTTAAGAGTTTTACTTTGGTCACAGGATTTTTATTTATTTCATTTAACAAAAATTGGATACTGCTTGACTCTAAGAAAATCTCTAAGTGGTTTGTGTAAATACAATTTTAATATATCCAGGTATTAATGGTATTAAAAACTACTACAGCATGTAAACATCTGTATGGAATTTCCTGGTGATATTCCCCGCCCGTCCCCGTCCCCCGCAAACTAAGCCTTTTTTAAAAGCAGGTGTTGTGGACCCACTCACAGTGACCCTGCCCCAGGGAACAAGGCCTAACCTGTGAAGGCAAAAAACCCCAAAACTGGATAAGACAATGTTCTGGGATTTAAAATTAGGCCACAACTTTATTCCAGATGTAGGTTGGACTTGACTTAGGCACTGGGTACATCTCCTCCCCCTGATGGATGGCTGATGCAGGCACGCCCAAATCGGCCCTCCAGCTGTTTTGGGACTACAACTCCCATCATCCCTAACTAACAGGACCAGTGGTCAGGGATGATGGGAATTGTAGTCCCAAAACATCTGGAGGGCCGAGTTTGGGGATGCCTGCATTACAGGGTCAAGCCTAGGATTAAGGGCCCTATGCAAGACACAGGAAACTCTGTGGCCCATCTGCTGCATGTCTTGGTTTTAGGACAGAGCCTTCTTACTAGCCCTCTCAACAGGGTACCCTGTTATTGCACAATTCTGTGCTGGGGGTGATGCACCACTTTATCCGCACGCCTGATGTTAGCCTAAAAGGTTTCCACCTTATCAGCCACAGTTGTGTCTATTGCTATGGGGAAGGCAGTCCTGTGCATTACTCAGAAGTAAGTCCCATTGACATAAAAGGACCTTACTCCCAGAAATATGAGCATAGGACTGCACTGTTTACTAAATTGTCATCCCATTTCATGGGGCTCAATGTCACACTTGGATAAAAATACTTCCTTTGTTTAATTTCCCCTGATCATGGAAAATTTCTTCCCAAATTTCTCAGAGATAGTTCAACTTAAAACCGATGAGATTCTAATGAATGAAGAATTGACAGAAGTGCACATATAGCCAGAGGTTGTTTGAATGTTTTTATTTCAGTTTGCCACCTGCAAAAATTTGCAGATTTTTGAATCTGTGTTTTTACATTTTTATTACTTATTATAGGTTGACTAAGGCAAACTCAGTTTCCTGCACCTATTCCTTAAACCATAGTTCTGTTTTATCTTTGCTATTTTAAGAAACCTTGATGTTTCTTCTCCCCCCCCCACTCCCCAATATCTATTTTTCTACAAAGAGGATACAGTGGGTCTCTGATCACTTTTCTTGGGCTTCTGTAAAATCTTGTACACTGAAAAGTTAAAACAGGAAATCATGGGAAAGTGGGACGAGACAGCAGATAAAGAAAGCATCATGAAAGAAACACAGAAGGCTTGACACTTCTTTTCTTTGTGTCACAATGAAGTAATAACTCTGATGGATACCGTATCATTGGCAGCTCACTTCAGGAAGTTTAAACTAATTTATAATAACGTATTAGATGTCTGCTTGACAGAATGCAGGGAATAGGCAAGATCACTGAGGTCCCAGAAATAGCACATAATCTGGAAATAGCTAGCTGGGGAATTACCACTACCTAAACTATCAAAAGGGCAAAGTTCTCTCAGGGCATGTCCATTCAACCACCTTTCTGTACTCCTGGATTGGTGCCGTCGAAGTATATAGGGTAGAATAAATGCCTATCAACAGCCAGGAAACTTCACCTATTAGAAACAGGAAGAAAACTGTGTGTAATCACACACTTCAGGTGTGTTTAAACTGAATGGTACCACCAGTGATTGAAGCATTGTAAGTTCTACAGGAATTGAAACAATCCTACAGTAAAGCTATGCTGATGTGCAGGATACAGTGCAACCTTGAAGTAGCTGGGTGTGCTTCATTCCATGAAAACGAAAAGTAAACTGGACATCTCTTGGCACATATGACAGAAGGGTCAACGCTTTTTGCAGGCCCTTTAAAAACTCTTAGCAGTTTGTACAGTTTGTATGCATGTGTTCAGAGGCCATAAAGCAGACCCCAGGGTTCAGAGTTCAGGAACTCTGTGAATTAATCACATCTTTTAAATTTCAGAAAATGACACTGACGGGGCAGAATCTCAATATATATATCAAAAGGGGAAATATTTAACCCGTTTTCTTAGGAATAACATTAAAAATGAAAATGAAGCTTAACTAGTGTGGATAGGGTTGATGGGCCAAAGTTCAATACTCTTATCAGCCACAAAAAATTCAGTAGTTAGCATTTCCTAGATCATTATCCATCAGCCTGACTTAGTTATAAAGATTATTCTGAATGCTGAGGAGAAGTATTAAAAGTTATCAAATTAGTAGTTCGTCAAAATTCCTAAAAAGCTTTGGAAAATTATATCTTTATCAGTATCTTGTTTATCATTATATTTAGCCACTGTTCTCTCACCTTTGTTTTGGCATTAGCCCTTTTCATCAATCTGTTCTAGCACTGATCATGGTTGCTGTATTAGGGTCTTAAGCAAGAGACCACTTACATTTTTTATGGCAGAGTTTTATGACTCACAGTGACACTGAACTGTTCAAATTTCCTCTGCTGGGAGCTTTCCTCACTCCAGGAGAAGAAATTAATTAATCAGTGTATTATCCGCCAACGTGCCCAGAAAACATATCTGATTAAATTCATGTAGTAAAGTTTTGCAATCACTGCCTACATTAACTATTGATTAAATGAAAGCTTGGTAAGCACTCACTTGTGTTACAGGTTTATTATTTATTTCTCTACTTGCCAGTTTTGATGCTGGTGCTGGTGCTTTAATTAACAAACACACTTCTGAAAGTGTTCCTATATATGATATGGAAGATGAACATTCTCCCTCGGACTCTATTCAAAGCTGCCCTTCCAGTGTTTTCTCATCACCGAAAGGCAGCTTTGCACTTCATACTAGAATGGTGCACAAGAAAGGGAGGTGCAAAAAGTCCCATCACTTGCAGAAGCATGAAAATGACTTCAGAACCACAGCGTTTCAGGAACTATTGTGTGGATGTATATAGAAAAGCACATTCTTCTCTCCCCCCCCTTTTTGCTCAAACCCAATGTATAAAACTAGATTTTAGGACTATGGACTTTGAGTTGATGAATTAATCAACTCATTGGTTCCAGCTTTTATTGGTAAGAGCACATTTTAATCAGTGCTTGAGATGTACTTAAAAAAAATTAAATGAAACAAAAACATAATATTCTGTATTCTACCAATGGCCTTGGGAAATAAGGAAACACAATCAATTATAACAGAATCTTCACTTCCTAGGAAAAACACTCTTCATCTTCAGACTTTTTTTTTTACAGAATATACATCCAACAAGGTTTTTTCCCAGCCAGTTTCCGATGGATTTAGACATTCAGAAGTAGGTTTTAACCTCACCTCCCACAGATTGATGTGTGTGCAAGGCCAGAACTGTTTTGCATGCAAGGTGCACTGTTTGACCATCCCAATGTGAGATCTCTGAAATTTGAAAGCCAATGCTTTAGAGAAGCTGGTAGTATCAGAGAGGGAGTTCTAACATCAGATCTCAGTTTCCAGTGTCAGGGGTAGAGCACATCTCTTACATCCTCTGAAATACTGTCCTGGAGACCATAAGATTTCACCCTAAAGCTGGAATTTTCATTCTATGTTTAGGGAAGTTAAACTGTTGTAAGATCCACTTCTTAACCACCAGGAAAGTGCAACTTTCTAAGACAAATATCAGATACAAGCAGAAAATCATAATGATGCTAATTTAATCTTGATGTATTGTAAGTTGAGATTTATTGTGCTCAGCTTTGATAATTGGCAAGAAGAAATGAGAGTCTAGTTTCCTATTAATTACCTGCTACACATTTCAACCACTTAATAAATGCAAGAACTAGTCATATTCATGCATCTGTTGGTAGGGCGGGTAGCCGTGCAGCCATCAAGAAAGAGTAGAAAATGAGTAAGACAAAGTATTAACTTGCCAAAATTGCACATCTTTCCATCTACGGAAGCCTGGAATTTTCAGAAAGCTGATATGCATAAATTAGCAGCACCACATAAGGAAGCTCTAATTTACAAAGTCACTACAGACCCAATTATTTTTTTATAGCGAAAAAAGAAAGAAAGAAAAGTGTTTTGCCCCCACAAAGCAATAATGCATATTAGTGCATCCCTGATTTAACTCTTCATTTGAATAGGCTCAACAAAAAAGGTTGTGAAGGCTTACTAAAAGCTACCTTTAAATAGGAAAGCTATTTATACGTGCTATATCATTTCTAAGTGTTATTGATAACAGAAGTGTTTTTTGTGTGTTTTATTTTCTACTAATACTGACTTCTTACAAAAATTAGTGAAATTGAACATTGTGATCTTGTAAGGCTGTGTCCTAACTCCAGCAATCTTTTTTTTTATTATAAGATATTTATTAAAGTTTCAAAAAAAAAGTTACAATAATAATAATAATAAAAAGAATAATAAAAAAAGAGAATACAAAAAAGTAAAAACAATTAAAAACAAATCAATCTTTCCATATCTTGTCTTTCATTCACTTGTTTATAAGGAGTATGTAAAAATGGACTGCTAACAGATGAGAATATACAGTTATTACATATTAAGACAAAGGACTAAGATAAAAACAAAGAGGGAAAGGATTTGCTGAATTAACTTACTGAACTGGAATACAAAAAGGGGAGGTGTGAGGAGGTCGGGCTAAATCCAGCAATCTTAGATACATTTATTGAACTGGATTCTTCTCTGAGAACCAATATATCTTTGTTACATATATTTAGGCACCAGACAAAAGCATTCCACCTTTCCCAGGCCTTTGGCTAATTAAACAATATATGGCCCTTTAAACTGTGTGTTTGTGCGCGTGGTTATTGTTTTTGTTTGTTATTATGTTATTCATTTTTATATTGTAAACTGCCCTGTGATCTTTGGATGAAGGGCATTATAGAAATTAGATTGATTGATTGATTGAATATAGGTCTGATCACTTTTGAATGGCTTAGATTTTTTGGGTTAACCCCCACCCCACCCCCACCTAACCAACTACTGCTATTTCTTGCATATTAGAACAAAGCAAAAGCACCCAACCTTGTTGGGCCTGGGGGTATATTTGGAAATCTAAACAACTTCAATGGACACCATGAAATATCCATTTCACAAAAGAAAAACTAGCGATTCTCAAAGACTACCAAGTAATAAAATAGCTCTGATGAATCAGAAGAAAAATAAAATACAGACAAAGCAGTCCACCCTGCAGAAAAGAGGCAGAATTCCCACCACCACCACCACCAAACAATCTCCTGAAAGGCCCCAAACTCAGTTTTAAAAATCAATAAATTGAAGAAGCAAAGGAGTTGGAAGGTACCTTGGGGTATGTCTCTACTGGTGAAGTTTTGGGGACCCAACAGCATATGTGAAATAACTGTATCTCAAAATAAGGGAAGCAAAACAATCCTCTCAGGGTTGTTCATGAGCCAAAATTTCAAGGCCTAAAGACCGGTGGTTCTTTGCATGATCTCAGTTTGACTAAAGAATTGCCAACCTTTCTGTTTCTCATGTTCCTGCCAAACAGAGATATTTCTGCCCTTAAAGCAGATATTCAGGCCTGCTTAAATGATGAGCAACAGTTGCATCCATTCCATTCCACAGATTCTAGGGCAGGCATCCCCAAACTTGGCCCTCCAGCTGTTTTGGGACTACAACTCCCATCATTCCTTTCTAACAGGACCAGTGGTCAGGGATGGTGGGAATTGTAGTCCCAAAACAGCTGGAGGGCCGAGTTTGGGGATGCCTGTTCTAGGGTGATCATGGTGACTCTGAAAAATTGCACACATCACTTGGGAAGACAGGTGAACTAATATCAGTGTACTGGAAGAAGCAAAGATCATCAGTGTTGAAGCAATGATTCTTCAACATCAACTTCGTTGGACTGGACATGTTGTGCGGATGCCTGATGAACGTCTTCCAAAGCAACTACTCTATTCTGAACTTAAAAATGGAAAGCGTAATGCTGGTGGTCAACAAAAGAGGTTTAAAGACTGTCTCAAGGGAAATCTTAAAAAATGTAGTATAAACACTGACAACTGGGAAACACTGGTCTGCTAGTGCTCCAGTTGGAGAACAGCCTTTACCAAAGGTGTCATGGGCTTTGAAAACACTTAAACTCAGGACGCAAGCAAGAAATGTGCTAAGAGGAAGGCACGCTTGGCAAATCCACACCGTGGATCAACTCCCGTCCGGAAACCAATGTCCCCACTGTGGAAGGACATGTGGATCCAGAATTGGCCTCCACAGTCACTTACGGACTCATTTTTAAAACCTTGTTTATGGAAGACAATCTTACTCGGCTACGAGTGATTGCCAAAGAAGAAGATGATGACCTTTATCATTCACACAGATTCACCCAAATATTACTGAATACCTGGATGTTGGCTACTATAAACTCCTTTACAAAATAAGTACTTCAGTGGTGTATTTAAGTTCCTGTTTCAGCTGAGGGTGACATAGACTGCTTTTTATCAGCTGTCCAGGGAAGGAACACTGCAGTCACATCAACTACTGCCTTGTTCTTAGAATGGCCGTGGCGTCTCTTAGAGGATATACCTGATTGCCCTTTTAGGAAGAATTTAAGTTGTCATGAATCTCTTGATAGGTTTCTCAGGGGGAAAAATAAAGCAGAAAGGGTATGGTGTTGGAAAATAACACAAAATCTTAGAGTCTTACAAACCAAGCTCAGTTAATGGGAAGGATTGCTCAGGTGGTGTTAAATGCTTTAATAGACACCTTATCTTGAGAAGGGAAGAGCAAGCAGACAACACACAGAGGGAAGGGAAGCCTTTCAGAAGCCTGTCTTTCAAAAATTGGTAGAATGAATCAGCTCAAGGCTCAAGGCTCCTGATTCTCTAAATCCTTTAGTTAATGGAAATTTTGTTTTTCTCAGGCAAAAGATCCAAGAAGATGGATCTGGACTTCAGTAATACTGTTTGTCCTCATAATAAGAAACACAATCCTTTTCACATCCCACCTCTGATATTGTCAAGCAAAATATGCAAACTAAAAGCAACGATATAAAACAAACAATGAGTTAATAAGAATATAATAATATTGGTAATGTTAGTAATATGGCAGCTGAGGATCTAACATGGAAATTACCACAGGAATGAGACTAAGAGTTAGAAGAGGTCACTGTAAAGTTACCTTTCCGTAAACAAATACAGCTAATAGAGCCTTCAGATCTTCCCACATTAATTGCAGATTAAAGAATGTATAGCTTTCTGATTCACTAATTTGGGGATGTAAGCATTAAATTATTAAAGATGAGTAAAACTCAAGCAATCTCAAATATTGTGTGTTTGTGTGTTTGTGAAAATGTACATTTCCATGATATCTGCTCTATCCTATTTAATGCAGTAAGTCATTCTCTTGGGAAAAACAGATATGATTTCAATTATAGTGAAGATTTTGAGATAAAGTACTTGGGAGTGAATTCCTGAAAAGAAAAATGATCTCCCTTGCTGCCCTTTTCTTGATTAAATGTTATAACTTCATCTATTATTAGTGACCTCAGTCACACATGAGAAGAGAACTTTTGGCTTAGCCTAACTGTAGGATGCTTGAGGAATCTGATCTGTGTGAATTCCATTACAGAGTGACCTGACTCGTGTATCTTGGACTAAGATACAGTTCAGAACTTAGCCATCTAAGCACAGTTCTTGGTGGTTTTAACGCATCAAAATATGTATTTCAACGTATATTTTGAACTGAATTCTTTAGCAGTTCATAGATGAATGAGGGAATGAAATAAGAGTCATGGTATAAACATACAAAAGATGTGCATACCAACAATAAAGGAATTCAGCTGAGGGGAGCACAATTGACATTCCCTGCAGTGAGCAGTTAAAGGAGCCCCGATGTTCTGTCCACTCATCCCTGAGCTGAATCTTCCCCCTTCGCAAAGCAGCCCTGGCAATCCTGCCCCTTGTGCGTGAGCGGCAGGAGTGCTGGGGCTGACTCAGCTGGGGAGCAGGAACCTTCCCGATTCCGAGCTGAGCTGAACCCACAAACTGCATTGTCCCAGCCCTTGAGCGACTGGGTGAAACCGCCTCAGTTTCCCAAGGTCAGAGCTGGGGCAGTTTCACCAGGTGCCTCATGGGCAGAGGACAGTGCAGCTTGTTTTTTCAACATTGCATTATATCGCCAAACCGCGATGTTTGGCTGCCGATATACTGCGATGTTGAAAAAGCTGATATCGTCCAGTCCTAGAACTAACTAGATGTTAATTAAGGTTTATTAATTAATTATTGCATTTGGCCTGTCAGAATAACAATTTTTGTAATGTGGAAAGCATACAAACTATACCCTATGTCTGCTGAATTCAAGGAATTCCAATACCTTGAAATCAGTTCCTGCTCAGTCAAAAATATAATTTTAAATAAATTTTATATAAAGACTGATCTCTGGGTATGCATGTTTGTGTATCTGTATGTGTGAAAGAGAGGGGGGTGAAGCTATACACACTGAGAGAGCTATAATTACTTTTGTCATTTTTTATGCTTCAAAGGTTCCTTGCTTTGGGTATTTTTGCATGTTGGAAAATGGAATTTTTACATGTTGGAAAATGGCTGTGCCATGTAAACTTTAATGGGAGGCATTGATTCTGCACAAACTTTAAGGGTGTTTTCACTCATATGCTATGGTTATGTAATAAATCTTTTTCAAAAAGTGGTAAGAGAAACAGTAATCACTGAAATGATGAAAGTTCGTTTACCTTTAAAGTCTGTTGTTGAATAATGTAAAATGAATCCTTGATATGTCTATATGATGTAGTGCTGGTTGTATCAAGAATGTTTACTAATGTCTTACACAAACAATATTTGCAGTAAAAAAAGAATTATAGAAGGTATGGGATTCATTTATTTTGTTTAGACTTGCAGCAAATTAAAATTCACCAACATTATAGCTGAATTTAATTTACATGCAACTCATAATTGTATACATATTTATTAAACTTTCTCTGCCATTATTTCACTTAATATGTGAGCACTTTAATTAGGATAAACATAGTTAATTCACAGAGAACTTACAGTTCCTGTATCATATTGCCTTCAGTATGAATTAACTGTGTTTTCCTTTGGTAGTGTTGTCACACAGTCAGCTGACTACTGTGCTGTTCTGAGGAAGAAGGAAACCAAACTGAACTAAAGGAAAAACTGGCCATGAAGCAGCAGCCCACTGCGACTGCAAATGACTCTCACTCTGGAATGCTACCACCCAGATATGCTGGTTCCTGGTTCAGCATTTGAGGGTAGCAGAAGTATGGTCCCACTTTGCCAGTGCTTTCCTGCTTCATGAGGAATTCCACACAAGTTACGCTTTTGGTGAAAGGAGGCAATATTTACGAAAAGTGCTCTCCCATTCCAGCTACACTTTAATGTCACATACCATAATTGCTAATTTAAGTAGAGCGTTTATATAACATTTAGTTCCCACAGCTTTAAGTTTAGTATTTTTCACCTCAGCAGTTCCTGTTGAAATTAATAGGAATACTTTTAGAGTAAATCACAGTTGAACAGTGGTAGACTCAGGTTTCTGCATAATTAGAGTACTGCTCATCTTGATTTGCCGAGGCTCTGATGTCATACCAAGGAGAACCAATTTAGAGAGAATGCACTTATGGGAATAATACAGCAGTGAAGCCATGGACGCTTGGTATTTAAGGGATAATCATTTTCATGCTGGCAAGGTAATTTTCATGAGAAAATGAATGGCTCTCATGTGTGATTGATAACCTTAAAGCCTGTTTATTGCTAGCATTTTCCACTACTACATATATTACAGCTAGGTTAAAGAAGACAGAATCACCATAATGAACATATTCAGAAATTAAAGGCAAATGTTTCTTACTGTCTGAAGGCTTAAAAATGCTGTGCTGTTTCTTTCTTTCCATAGCATAGTTGCTCCATGGATCTGTTTTGATTAATTATTATCCAAGACAATGGCTTACATTTTTAAAAATGCTATGAGCATTAATATTACTGTGGCTGCTCTATCAAACAGTTCAGCATTTTCCAGGGGCCCATTGCCCTCCTACCACTTATCTTCATATTAATGATTAATTCATCTTGATGGCTAGGAACTTCCCTTCATTTTTCTGAGTTT